AGAGTGAAAACTTACGTCCTTTGCACCCACACACGTTCATTTTTAACTGTTCTCTATGACCACAAACAACATTACCATCTCAAGATGTCATCAGCCGACGACGACGCTTTAGCCGTTCTTGGGTTATTATTAATTTTAAAATATAAAAATTAAAAAAAATATACGCAAAAGTGGTGTAAAGAGTGGTTAAAAAAAAGGAAAATTTATTCCCATGTTAATTTATTAACCGAACTAAAAATTGTTTCGAAGGTTTGGCACAACTATCTCCATAGATAAGAGTGTATATACTATATTACTATACTCTTTGGTATATACTGAAATAGATAAGAATCTCTAACGTAAAAAATTGCTGTGACAACAGCGCCGCCTGGAAGCTAGTTTATTAACTACTACTGCAACTATACATAACTACAGATATTATATATACCTGTTCTGTATACATACTACTATCAGTGCTGCCATTTTAGCGCTTTGGGAGCTAGATCTAGCGCTTTTTTGTAATGTTTAGCGCGCATTTCAAAATTTTAGCACCTAGCGCTAAATCTAGCGCTTTTTGGTGTATTTAGCACATATTTCAAAATTGTAATGTCTAGAGGGTTATTTAACACTTTTATACTTTTTTTGTCTATATTACCGATATTAATAATAATAATGACCTTTATTATTTTCTCCCACAAATAGTACATTGCAATTTATCTTTTGCAAACATATTTTTTTCTTAAAAATAAAACAAAGTGTACATAAATTTGTGGGAGACTGTAGTCCAAACTAGGATACCCTATGCTATGGATCTCCCGGCTCCTCTTTTAGGATGATCAACCTGATTTTTTTTACCGATAGACTATAAACGGGGAAATTCCCTTTATTAAAGTTTCCGTTCATGGTTTTAGCAACACATTTGTTTTGCTCTATTCAGTTTCAGTTTCAGTCAGTTCGTCGCTAATGCCGCAAAGGGGTGAAACTCAATTTTTTTTAAAAATACAGTAGAGCAAGAAAACATTTATTATTCCCCGATTCCTAGCTTTTTCTCATCAGAAATTTAATCTTATTACAAATATGATTAAATTTCTGATGAGAAAAGAAATTTAATCTTATTTGTAGCTTTTCATTACGTCTAATATATTTAATTTTTTGAATGTTGTTAAAACTAAGTTACGAAATAATATGCACTTTAAAACAGTTAATGCCATTTTAAATGTTCGTACAGGAATAACTGCTGTTGACAGAAATTGTTATAAGTCCATGTCCTGCGAAGAAAAAAACTTACCTAATGTTGTTTTCTTTATAATGATAATAACGAAATTAAACGATTTGGTTGAACTTTGTTTGTGTTTTTTTATTATAATTTATAATTCAAGAAAAAATGTAGTTAATTTAGCGCGAAATCTAGCGCTTTTTTGAAGCGCTATTTTCATGAAATCTAGCGCTTTTTGTGTCGTCCTAGCGCTGAATGAGCTTTTTGATCTGGCAGCACTAACTACTATAATATTGTTATTTTTATTAAGTATTTTGTCGATTTCTAAATAACAATAAAAAAACTGTTATTTAGAAATCTGCATAAATACTTTCGATAAAATGCGGGACAAAAAGAAAGATTTTTAGTATTGTTAACATTTTTATTTTTATTTCACAATTTTAAATGATATGTTGAAAATAAAATTCTAACAAACGTGAGATGTTATAAAGTTCCATGTTGTCTCCACATATGTAAAGTAACTAACTACAAACCATCATTAAAATTAAAGAGTTGAAATTAACATATTATTTTATAACTCTTTTTTTATATTTATGTCACTGCACCAATTACAAATTCTACCTTAAAGCACATTCTTGACGCATATACATAACTCGACGCAAATACATAAACAATAGCGATAAAACATTCTTATAATTTTTTTTTAATTTCATTCAGTGTTGCCTAATGAAACGAAGTTAAAACTTCTATTTCTTACTATTGCTACTTCTATATTCGTGACAATCTATTCTTATATTCTTTTTTATTTCTTATTTCTTATATTCTCTCTTTAGAATATAGAAGTACGAATAACGAGAAACGTTTATCGTTATACTTGTCCTGATAACTTTGTATGAACGTATATGTAAGAAGTCGAAAAATCAAATTCACAATCTTAAATGGACTATGTTATCCATATAGTATAACAATAAGTATCATTCGTAAGCACCAAGTTTCGCTTTATAATGGAAATATGCACTCAAAAACACCAATTAATCGTTGATTAATATTCCGACAGAACGTTATTACAATGACATGTTTTTGGATTCGTTGCCGTAGTGTTGTGACCGTTATAAACCGTTTTTGGGCCAAATAAAATCGATGTTCTGAAAAATCGATACTTTTACATTTAAAAAAGAAAGAAATTTATTATTTAATGTTTAAACATATAAAAACAAAATCTGACCATATATTTCTAGCTTTATTTTGATATTTAATATGTTAATATTGGAAATAGTTTGGCTAAAAAAGCCTGAGTTCATCCTTTGATATTGAAAAAATGTATTTTAACCTCCATTTTTTTCCTTCTAAGTCATTGATTCATCGATGCTTTGCGCGGTCTCTCGCTATCTTGGAATTTTTTGTGTTATTGGTTATTATTATATTTTCTGACTCAGCTATCACTCTTAGACTGTTTCTGCTATACTCGTTGACCTTGGCTTGCTAGTTCAGGACTTTGATTACGCATTACGTGATTTTGGTGTTATCATGTGAACTAGACAACATGTACAAAAGAGGACGTACTCTTAACAGCCAGTATCGTGACTTGGTTTTGAAGTTGCACGAGTACTTTGAACGAGTCAGCAAATAGAGGGCCTCTTTTAAAAGTTACCCAAGTACACGAACGAGTCGCACAAGTGCTTGGAATTGGCATAAAAACAATCCGAAATATTACAAAGGAAAAGTACGGGCCTCCTGGCTGAAGATAATGGATTGCACACACTACACACAGGGCTACAAAATCATGGTGTGGATGCTGACTTGAATTTATTGAAAGCAGAACTGTTCAAATTAGTTATTTTGGCCTCACAGGTTTATTTTGTTTGTTAGTCAAACAAAAGAAACCTGTGATGCCAAAATACGCCATCGATGAGTTTGCACAGGAACATGGGCATAAAATTATAAGGACCCCACCATAGCATCGTCAATACAATGCTATAGAGATGATTTGGGCTCAAGTTCAAGGTTAGTATTTAAATATTTTAATCTAAAAGGAACGATTGCATACGTTTTATAAATATATATTTAATATACGTTTATAAAAAAATAATCCAGGAACATTATAATATTAGTAGATATATTTCGCCTAAGAGAGCGGCTGACTGCTGTCCTATTTTTATAGTTAATTGAATGGCATATTTATTAGAACCTATCCAGCCGTTTGACTGCACGAGAGAATAAAGAATGTAGTTATTATAACTTTAAATATTTTACAGGCTACGGTGCACGTCAAAATACAAAACCTTCATTCACCACAAAAAAAAACGCTTGGTTTTCTTAAAGAAGCATGTTCACATGTCACAAAAGATGATTGGGTCAATTTAGTAGAAAGGACAAAGAAAATTATAACGGAAAACTTTAGAAGAGACGTACATTTTGACAATTTGATTGAAAGTGAATTTATTATAAGGTTAATCGATGAAGACAGTTCAACTGATGATAATTTTTCTGGAGCTTCCAGAGACGAAAATGAATAAAAATGTTACGAATTCAGTGAATTTATTTATTTAACTGACCCAACCACACTTATTTAATGTTTATTTTATTCTTGACTAGCGACCCGCCTAGGCTTCGTGCGAGTGCATATCAGTGGCGTGCCTGCATAATATACAATGTATATTATGCAGGCACGCCACTGATATACGTAAACCTTCCGGAAGAAATCAGTATGTCTTGGCTTTGAAACTAGCCCAAATTTAAACTTAGTTTGGATTTATGTAATAACTGTTAAATATTACACACTCGATCATGTATTAAAACGATATGCCCTGAAAATCAATTTTAAACTATGTACATACATTGTCCATTACAAACTTTAAATAATAGATATATCTCGAGAATCGGTTTTTAAAGCAATCAATTTTTTTCCCATCAATACACAAAGTATTTTTATAGCTGTCAAATCGGGCTTCTTAGATTGTCACGAGTATAATATAAACCTCATGGTCAAAAATAAATAAGTTTAGTAACACCAATATTTTTTTTAAATGTAGTTAATATATGCAATAACATATAACAATAATTTGCTTAATAACACATGATTTCCTTTTTACAATTTCCTTTACACCTATCATTAGAATTATTACTGATAATGCTTGATTTTTTTGTGGCGGCCACACTATCTTGATTGATTTACGTAAAGCAGCTAAAAATGCAAGATTACGGAGCCGCTATAAATAAAAAAGTATTAAGTGATTCATAAATCAATGACTAGGTGGCGGTAGTTTAACCATCAGTGAAATTTCTTAGAAGATACAATAGCATGACTATCTCAGAATGAGTGAAGAAATTTACCTCAATCTCGTGATCGCAACACGACTGAACAAACACCGCCTACACACGCACAGTTTTTACTGATCAGTTCCGTCATTTCAGTTTAAAAAATATGTATAAAAAATCATCAGTTTTAACTGATAATAAAAAAACTGACAGTTTTCATCGTACACACACTCAGTTTTCACCACAGAGTACATTATATATAGGGAAGTTTTCACTGTCAGTTAAAACTGGTCAGTCAAAAATGACAGTTAAAAGTGATCGTGTGTAGCCCCTATAACTAATTTGTGTCAGAAAAGATTAAAGTAAATAAATATGAAGTGAAGTGTTTATTGGTGTTACAAAGCATATCCAATCTTTAATTTATAAGATGTTTAAAAGAAGTACCGTTCTGAAAACAAGTTCATTGCTACCGTCGCAAAATCATTTAATATTATCCATCGCGTTGTTTTTTGCCTTGTTTATTAAATTTTGATTGACGCATGCAATTATGGAAGTCAACCCCTTGAACATATTTTTTGTGAAGTCGGACAGTAAAGGTGACAGACTATTGTTTAGATACCCTTACACGTCGGAAAATAAAGATGAAAACAAACAGAAGAAGTGCGGCCGTCACAATCCGTACGCAATTAACTCTACCGAAGATTTGTTGCAAAATCCACAGTCGCAAACCTCGAATATATGCAAAGGTTGTATAGCCAATGTGTCTCTACTTCAAAGTTCTTCAAATATTTAACTTAAATACAGCTGAAATCTACTTATTAATATTCTTATAAAAGTGTAAAATTTGCTTAATTAACAAATAAATTGTATTCATTTTTGTTTCCCTGTTATACATAATATTATAACAAAATGTTTTTGATGTGCTATAATGACAAATTCAATTCAGAATAATATGAGTCTAGACAATATTTCAATGTGGTCATACCGTCGGTATCTATTAACTTGTGTTGTTTCCCAATTTATTTGCAGTAAATAATAATTTCCTCCAGACCAAATTTCGTTCATGGCAGCCAGGTCTCAACAGAGACTAGCCATGTGCACTCTTTATTTCTTCACCGATATAATCCAATGGGACAACAATCTGACAAGACTAGAGAGACTTCCGAATCTTAAGTTACATTATATTACTGAAGTTTAGGTCAGATCTCCTATCTCAAGTTGCATTATATTTGTGAATTTCAGGTCAGCTAAGTGGTTTCACAGATGAAATGCTTTCAACTTTGTTTGCTGTAAAAGCTGAATTATGCAATAGAAAGTTTGAGCTTAAAGTAAATGATGTGAGGTTTGTGGGCCACCCAACACTTCTGCCTTATAGAACAAACAAAGATGATACAGCAGCTATGATACTTATAAACATTGTTTTTGCATTGCAAGCATCGGCAAGTCATTCAATTGGTAAGTAAAATTTTAATTGTAACAATATACATCTTTTCTTATATATTATATAAGTGGTAGAGCCATGCTGCAGCTATATATTAGTAGTATAGTTGTATCACGAATGGATCGGCTCAAGTGGGGAAGTACCATGCTCTCTCAGAATACCAACATAAAATAGCAGCTTAAGGCTGCTGTTTTGTATGGTCAGTGTAGGGAACTGGAGATCCTTTTTACTGAAAAAGAGGTATTCTATCTTAGTCTTCGGATAGATGTAGATGTCAATGGGTCTTAGCAACCACTTACCATCAGGTGGACTGTGTGCTTGTTTGTCACTCTGTCCTATAAAAAAATAATATATTATAGAATATTGGAGATAATTTATTTAATCAATGAAGAAGTTGTAATTAAGGCTGCAACATGTTTTTGCATAAAATAAAAAATGTATATTGCAGAGGCTATATCTTAAGCTGTGGTAATGCAGGTCATGGGTTCAATTCCTGTCTACAAATAATTGTTCCTCTTATTGGTTTAAGTAATTGTTTATACTACTCCACAATTTAAAATAAATTCTAAGTGCAAGATTAAAAAAATAGTTACAGAAATACATTTGTACTTTTTATTGTAACTTAGTTAATTTTAAAATGTACTTACACATCACATAACTAGTATGTCATAGACATGAGGTTTCTAATGCATGCACTAGCTGGCAAGCATTATTTAAAGAAGGGTTTGCTCATACTTACCAAGTTTGGCAGGTGGGTTGGTTAGCATAAAGCCAATAAACTAAGACTAATACTGATTGCAATCATCAGTTTGTAAAATTTGGGTATAGCATTGGATGATATTTACTATCATTGGCTTGCCAGTCTTATCTGTCAATCAGCAGGATGTATTTTGTGTAGGTGGGGTTGACATCAGGCATACCAATGTCAAGGTGACATATTCCCCTTTCATTTCTTAAGGTTGTTTTAAATATTAAAAAATAAAAATGAATCTTGTAAAATAACAATCTTTCTAAAATATAAGTATCTATATTTTATATATAAATTATTTCTGTGCATCTTAAAAACTGTTCTAAGAAGTCTGTTTTGGATTGTTTTTTTCATTTTTAGTTAAGTGCTATTATGATTTGAGCAAAAGATTGGGTAAAGCCTTGAGACATGAAGAAAAACGGTGTTCATATTTGACTGAAGAAATGAAAATAATGGTAAGATTCTGTATCTGTTAATAATGTTTTTTATTAATTAATACAATATATCTTCATATATAATAAATTATATGAAGATATATTGTATTTTATTTAGCAAAAAGTTTGAGACTTACGGCAACTGTTGGATTTGCAATACAATGTAGATGGATAGTATTTCAAATCTAATAGTAGTCAAAACATATAACAAAAAAAATAAATAAAGGATGCATCCAAGATACTCAAAATTATCAAAATTGTGTACATATTTTGACAATTTAAATGTATGATTTAGATTGTCAAAATATGTAAAAAAAAAATAATGACTAATTGGGTTATTATACTAAATTATTTAACAAAACTGATATTATCATTTTATTAAAATTTAAAGTTTCTAGAATATAAAAACAATGATTTCTAGAATAATTTCTAGAGCATAAAAACATAAACGTTTAATTTAAACTTTCAGTTAGCTGCACATGATGAGGTTTCAGCACTTGATAGTGAAATGAATTCAGGGGAAAATGATGAAGAAGAGGAAAACTTACGCCACTCTGTGAGTTCAACAACTTATGGTACCGAAATTTGTGAAAATGGTGCAACTCCTAAATCAGCTTTTCACCTAATACTACAGAGGAGCTCACTGGCGAGATCCATGAAAGCTGTGTTTGAAGGTCTCAGTTCCACAGGTATGATATTTCTTTTCTTACCCTTGTAAATGCATATAAAAATTTTAAAATTAGTTAATATATATATCTTTCCTGCTTTGTAAAATTATAGCCTCTATTTATTATTAAATTTATACAAAGTCTACCTGAGATACTATGTTTTGCTAAAAAATTAAGGGCTATTAAGAAAAACTTTACTATTTCATACGAAAGCAACAAGTGTTCATTATGATTGCACCCTTGTTTCCCTTTGTGCATTAAAATCCATTGAAAGATACACTTTTAACAACAAGGGCCTTTTTTTCTTACTAAACATTAGAATACTGATTCAAACATGATAAAATCTGTAAAAACAAGTTTCATTTAATGCTAGTACCACCTAGCACCGTGCATGCATATTTAACTTCGACCTTATTATTATATATTACATTTTATTATTCATTGAGAATTGGGTATGCATTTGGGATCAGGTTCTTTGTTGAGTGTTAACATTCACCAACAGTGGTAGAGCCATGCGGCAGCTTTTACTGTCGCACGGATGGGCCTGCTCAAACCGGGGTGCCACGACCTCACAGAATACCAGCGTGAAGTAGAGGTTTATCTGTGTGTTTCGCTTGGTGAGTGCAGGTGGCCGGAGGCTCTTTTTACTGGAGGCATTCCATCTTAGTCCTCACAGGTGACAATGCATTTGCATTTTCATTTGGAATAGAGGATAGATGTTGATGTCTATGGGCCGCAGCTACCACTTACCATCAGGTGGACTGTGTGCTCGTTTGTCACCCTTATCATATTTAAAAAAAACCAACTAAATAAAAGTTTATACATCACATTAACAGGCTACAATTTGCAGTGGTTTAATATCTCTACAATTTTCAGGAATTGTACAAGTTAGAATAAATAAATGGGTGCTCCTATCCTTTTGCTTACCTCACAAAGCTCATCAAATTCATAACAGAGGTTTAATAATTGAGCCAGAAACCATTGACAAATGCCTGCAGAAACTCAGACCCTATCATGGAATGCTCCTGTTGGTAAGTCACAAATTTAATACAGAATTATTAAGGCTTAATTTAAGCTAAGACCACAAAATAAAGAAAGTACAGACATTCGATTTCATACATTATGTGCTCCAGCAATGCACTCATAGCAAATTTCTATTGCCGCATCATAGTCCTCACTTGTGCCATCTACTGACGCATGCTTTGTAAAAATGTTGCTTTAGTTTTCTCTTTACCATTACTGAAAGAAATATGGTGAATAAAGTAATCTTATTGTATTTAATAATTGGAATAATAATCATATAAACTGATTATACATAATAATTTAAACACTTAATTAAGTTTTTAATTCTGTGTGAAATGAAACTGTCTGAACTCTGAGTCAAACTTTGCCTTTCCTTTTTCATTCACGACAATTATTCAAACAACATAGTAATGTCAATAGTGTTTGTCATAATAATATTACGTGCGCGTTGAGTGAAAATCCGATTATGATGAGAAATGTATGTATTCTTCCACACATACAGCAAGTACACAATGACATCGTCCAAAATAGCTAAGCTTCTTCTGTGAGGTCCTTGATAATTGTTCGTCCTTGTAGGAATGATAATCGCTTTCCGAAGATTTCCGATCGCCGGCGCTTGCATTTATACCCAACAAGAAAAGTATAGAATATTCTAGGTCAATTCATTCAAACATTCAAACAAGATCATTGAAACATTCACCTCTTTCATTAAGAATATATTCACGATTATTAATATTATGCCCAAAAGAGATATTTTATTGCAGACAAAATTGAACTACTAGCTCCTCCTAAAAAATTTATCCGAACTAATTCGCTATATATAGCTCTACATATTGTGTAGAAGTAAAATGTATAATATTGTTCTTTATTTCATATACATACTGAAATAGTTTTACTCCCTACTTTTTTGTAATACTGCTTTTGATATTATTAAAGTAGGTAAAACAGTTTACCTACTTTTAATAATAACCCACTAACCAAAATTAATCCATTTTAAATTAACTCATTAATTTTCTTTCGGTTTATAAATTGCAATTGGGTCCCGCCTGTTACTAAACTTAATGCAGATATTTAACTTAGGTTTTCAGATCATATTATAGTCTGTTAAACTGAAGTAGAGTTTAATTTGTTTATAATTTATTTTAATTATGTTTTATAGCATCAATCTTGTTTCGGTCTTTTTAGTGCATTATGTGTAAATTGTCTTTTATGCAATCGGGTCTTAGATTTTTTTAAATTATCTATTTTATTTGGGTTTAAAGTTTTTAAGGTTATTAATTTTTTTTTACAGGTTGATCCAAATTATCTACTAGCATCAATTCCTCTTGATGGAAGTCCAGCCTTATTAAGATTGATCAAGCTTTACAGCCCACTCAAAAGCCTTCAGACGCTTGCTATTGAAGCAGACCTATCTTTTACACAGGTGAGCCTACAATACACGGCATCATGGGTAGGGTATTTGTTTCCCCTACGCCATTATCACATGACTTACACTGCAGAACACATTGTTTCAGTTTAGTTATTGATAAATTGTATATTATTATTTTGTAACACACTTTTATCTACGCAATAAACAATGTTAATATAACCCTGAGTATACTATCTGTAGTAAATTAGTAAACAAGTCGCATTGCGTAGATAAGAGTTAATTTTGTTCATATTAGTCAGTGTTGGATGACGTCATTTAATGAGTATTTATTATTTACTAACAACTATGGTATGCAACTCAAATATGTAAATAAGATGCGTCATTTTTAAGTATCTAGTCTAGATGTTATTGTGTATTCACTCACTTAGATCTAATTTTGGGAATTTTTATCTTTTTTTTTATAGGATAAGGGTGACAACCGAGCACACAGTCCATCTGATGGTAAGTGGTTGCTGCGACCCATAGACATCTACATCTATACCTTCTATTACAAATCAAAATGCAGATGCGTTGTCACCCATTAGGACTAAGATGGAATGCCTCATTTCCAGTAAAAAGGGTCTCCGGTTCTCTACACTCACCATACGAAACACAGCAGCTTTAAGCTGCTATTTTACGCTGGTATTCTGTGAGAGCATGGTCCTTTTCCGGTCGAGTCGACCCATTCCTTCTACAACTATACTACTAATATAGCTGCAGCATGGCTCTACCACGTAAAAGTATCTGGTCACTTTGAGACTTTTGTGCAAGAATTGAACAAATTTTGCAGTTTAAGTTTGAACAAAATAACCAAGAAATTACTTAGTCAAAGTATCTTTATACATCTAGCAGTGCCCAGCATGCATTTCAATTAAAATAATAACCAACCAGATGAACATCCTCTACCCCATATCATTATGTGGGTGTCATAAGAGGCGACAGATTGAAACAACCATTGGGCAGTTCTCTGGTTGTCAACCTGCCTGTTAAGTGTTGCAACTATGGCAAATATGTCCCCTATGAGTCTATCTAAGAGGGAAGTCTATATTCAGCCGGCTGTTAAATGTCAATTAACTTGAACCTCTTATATGACTTCATCATTAGTCATAATTTGAAAAACGAATAAAAGTTAACTATTGCTTAAAGTTAGTGTTCGCGCCAAACGCTAAATTCAGGAACTAACGCCAGGGGGTGCTCGGCGCGGTGCATTCGTACCGGTTCGACGTTCGCGCGAGAGAGTTTTTTCCTACTGGCGGCGGGTTCGAGTCGAACAGTTGCTATAATACTGTGCTATCGAGAGCATGTTTAAGGATGCCCGAGAAACCTCCATTTTTGGAGTCGTTTTTGTTAGCAGACGTTGCCACGACGAAGGTTTCTTTGTTAAGTCTAGAATTCGACGCCGGGCTGACAAATTGTTAGGAAGTTAACATTGACTGCGATCAAAGTCTGAATTGCGTGTTAGGCGCGCCTAATTTACCGCGAATTTGGTTATTCTTATTTGATAGCGTATATAAGTGATTTGACAATATTAATTGCTCGTGCGGTGTGTTACGTTTTTGCTTATAGTAAGGGGATTTCGTATAGACCGACATTCTGTATTTGTTTTGGGTGTTACGCTTTATAACAAATTAGGGTTAGTGGCTTCTTTAAGTTAGTTAAATGTACAATGAAGCTAATAGGACTGTCCTCGTGACGAACGAAGAAAGTGACTGTGGACGACTCCGCGGAAGATTACTACAATTTGGAGCGGTGATGAAGTCCGAGCTGCTGCCGACGGCAACGGTCTCATAAGGTCTACCACACTCAGTCACACACAGATACACATCACTGACCCTTATTTCCCATGCACCATACAACCTCATGCGACCTGACCGAACCCTGAGGGACCAGTCGCCTTGGATATAGGTAGGTAAGCTCGGGTTTAATATTCTCCCTGTTGAATGGCAGCAGGATAGAACGCTCCCCATTATTGTTTATTGTGATAGAACATATTACACGTGGCCATATTGTGGCCCGTCCCTCTGCTGCCCGTCGATGGGATTACTCATGGGCCCTAATCCCGTCACCCTTTGTCGGGGCAGCTAGGGGCGTGTACAGTTAGTAAAAGTAAAAATACCGAATTATTTCTAGATCATACACATTTTATATCCAGATGATCACCCACTATGCTACCGAATCTTCCATTTTGTTTGTTGACCCCGGTGAGAATTCAAACTTAAAACCTGCAATTAAGTGCTCTTAATCATTGAGGCAGTCGTTAAACTCCACATAATACAAAACTTACCTAATGATTTTATATTTATCAATTATTACTAATAGTTATTCAATACAAATATGTAAGTATTTTATTGTTTAATTTCAGGTATCACAACTAACTGGACATCTCGTGTATTGGGCAAAGGCGACTGTCATCTATCCGCTTTGTGAGGGCAATGTCTATGTAGTAGCCCCTGGGGCTAATGTTCATATACACTCTCCTTTGTTAGAAGAGTTCGCGAAGGAATTCCCAGGGCTTTGTTTGTTGCAAGTATGTTTTATTTATGATTACTAATGCGCAGTGTTATAATAAAGATTGACTAATAAGCTATTCTAGATAGAGTGACGACTTGGTAAGACATGCAGGAAGTTGATGGATGCAGGTGGCGCAGGACCGTGCTTTGCTGTATTCATTGGGGGAGGCCTATGTTTAGCAGTGGAATTGTGAAAGGCTGTAATTATGATGATGAATAGGCTATTGTTTAACAATATAGAACGAATTTATTACAAGTCTGTTTTATATGTGACTAAAGGAGAATGATTATCAAAACATATTAATACTAAAATATTGATATATGTTTATTTATTAAATAGATGTAAAGTATGTGAAGATATGCATAAAATAACAAATTCAATATCCGTATGAAATATTGAAGGCTTAGCTTTCCATTGACGTCCGTCGAGTTGGGTGTTGATACGCATTTTTACAGAAAAGTTACACTATTATAAGCACACACACAAAGTTTCAACATGCGGAAACGCGTAATTTTTGAGAAAAGAATTATTGAAACTCAATTATTCTTGCAATGTTTATGTCTAATCCTACCATAAAACTGGCGCCATTTTGTAATGTCATTGTCGACGTCAATAGGGATGTCGATTCTTTCCGAAAAAGGTCCGATTTTTAAATCGATTCAAATCGTAAGCTGATGTATCGCTTCACAAAAAATCTATTTCTAAAATATCTATATTTTTTAAATGTTTCTATTTATAATGTAAATATAAACCCATTTTATTAAAAACAAGAAAGATACCATGATAAATGATCTCTTATTGAAATTTGTTTTATTTAACAGTACCTATTAGGGCAGATAACAAATAAAATAGGTTAGGTTCAACTTATGTCAAAGAACCGAATTGATTGACCCCGACTCCACCTGGTACGAGTCTGTCCTACCCCTAGAGTGGTTTTATAGAGCCGGAGGCGCGTAGGCCGGAGACGTAGCAATCTCAAAATAGATACAGAAATCCTTCTGAATCAGTCCCCTTATTTTTTTATGACGAAGGGAATTTTTTTCTCATAAAATGGATTTATATTTACATTATAAATGCAAACATGAAAAAATATAGATATTTTAGAAATCGATTTTTTGGAAATCGATACATCAGCTTACAATTCGAATCTATTTAAAAACTCGATCTTTTTCGGAAAGAATCGACATCCTTACTGACAATAATAATAAAAAATGGTGTCAGTTTCATAGTAGGTAGGAATTGACATAAATATTGCAAAAATATTTGATTTTCAATACTTTTCTCTAAAAAAATACATGTTTCCGCATATTGAAACTTTGTGTGTGTGCTTATAAAAATGTAATCTTTCTGTAAAAATACGTATCAACACCAAACTCGACGGACGTCAATGGGAAGTCGTACCATATTGAATATCATCCTCGACCGACTCCACTTCATATATCGTCGCACCGCATTATCAATTAAATATCTAGAAACTAGACCTATCTCATCCATCCACAACAGCCTATAAAAGCCCATTGCTGAACAGAGGCCACTCCCATAGGAAAGATTTTGCCATAGTTGCCTCATAGGAAAGATTTTGCCATAGTTGCGAAGCTTGACAGCGGGTTGGCAACCGAAGTATTTTAATATTTTGCGTTATTATCAGGAAAATGCTGCTGACCATCTTCTGTTTTAGTTTTCCTCTGTTGCCTCTTACAACACGCACGCGACAATATGTGGTAGTGGATATTCTTACACCGCTCCTACACATTCAACCTATTTTATAAACAGGTCAATTTCAATGCAATTGTATACAGTAAACCTTACCTGCATAGAGCTTAGAGTTATTTACATAGTCACGCAGAGTTCATGCCACTTAAATATATAATATATTTGAAATAATTTTATTTTGGATGGAGTTATAGAGCATTGACCTTGTGGACATGCGAGAAGTCGATGGGTGCAGGTGACTGAGGACCGTGTTTTGTGGCATAACTAGGTGAAGGCCTATGTTTAGTAGCGGGCTTGTAAAGGTCTGTAATGATGATGATGAAAGAAATAATTATCGAACAATTGTGGTTAGATGTGATGTAAGAAATTTTACTTTTAATTAGTGACGTAAGAGGTTTATTCCAGAAATAGATTTTACTTATGCAGTTTAAAGCTGTTTGTATTTTGCCATCCAGAATTTAAAAAAGTAAGAATTTGTTTGAAAATGTTTTGCAGATGCTCAGTGAATTCTCTCTCCCAGCTCCACTGTGGTACGTTGCGCGAGGAGTGGGTGGAGCGGGAGGGGGTTGTGGAGGGGGTGCGAGACTAGCGAGAGTCGTAGCTTGGCTCTTACGTCGTAGACTTTTGCTACAGCTACACACATATGTGCAATTCAATTCACCGCATTGGGGACGGGATCCTGGTAAGTTTCATTGTAGATCACAACATTTCATATATGTGTGTGTGTGTGAGAGAGAGAGAGAGAGAGAGAGAGAGAGACTACATGACCAAAAAGGTTTTATTTACATATCCATTATAGAGAGCCTGATTTAGGTAGTCTATTAAATCAATAGCTAGAATAGTGATTGGTCACCAATCTATTTGTCAAGTATAGTAATTAAGTCAAATGTTTGGCTGCTTGAGACGATAATTCTACCGTTTTTCGTTAGAATGCTCTTTTTTCCGCATTATTTTAATCGCCGTGTCATACCGTGGGTGTCGGTAAGAAGCCACAGAGGGAAATGAAACGAGATAGTGGGCAGCAGCATCTCCCTCAACAATTCGAAATAAAAAAAAAGTACTGCAGTCCCCCTTAAAAGGCAATATATGGAGGAGGCTATCTTCAGTAGTGGATTTTGATAGGCTGTAATGATGATGATGGTGAAGATATTAGGTATACAGTAAAGCGATGATTCCTCTTTAAAGTCCATTTACACCATACAAGTTTCTTGCCTGTTGTATACAATAAAGGTAATGCAATAAGTGGCAAATAAAAAAAAAATAAGGAAATTAATATTTATTACTATGGCTTCTCAATACATAAAAAAAAGTAATATTCATTCTGTAAATACTAGGAACAGACACAAGCTAGGAGTACCAGTTCCTCGACTCCACCGAGTCTGTAATTCATTCTTGGTGCGATATGCATAATATACGCTTTTACAACAGCACCCCAGAAAATATTAAAAATTTGACCTAATCAAAGTTCAATAACTGTATTAAATAAAGTTTGTATAAAAAAGGTTGTTATAAAATGAAGCAATTTATGGATGATAATAACCTCTAGGAATGTGGTAGCGGTTTATAATTTGTTTTGTGTTGTTAATTTGAGTAACATATATGATTGTAAGCAGTTATCCGCTGAGTTTCTTGCTAGTTATTCCCAGGACAGGTTTTTCCGAACCAGTGGTAAATTAAACAAAAGAGTGATTTTCAATAAGTATTATTTATAATCTATATTGAATAAAATAATTTCTGTTTCTAATATTGTGCATATTAAAGAATCATCAATCGGGTAGTGGATATTCTTTCACCGCCACTACATGGTAAACAGCACATAACAAATATCAGTTATAGGGAAGAACATTCAATATTGAATTAAAAACGTGCAGCACTTAAAACAACTCATCAATAATTACTAGACATAGGTGTTATCAATTTTTTTTATGACAATTGTTACATAACCTACATGAAGTTTTCATATCAATATCAAAAACCATTATTAGTTAATTATATGAAGCATAATTTGATTGCCGTTTCTGCAGTCAGTTTAGTTACCAGCGATCGACTAAAGTTCGGATGTTAAAAACAAAACTAATTTTTAAAAAATTAGCACGCACTTTTATTAATGCAAAATGATAAACACTTGACATCAGACTTTACGTTACGTAAGTTTAATTTAATATAACATCTTAAAGTTTCGGCCTTTGCAATTAGGTTGGCAACCAAACAGCTATCGATAATCGCACTCGATATTCGCTTTGTCTCGTTTTCACGCCTGGCAGGGTCATCAATTAAATTGATAGTTACAAGGGTGACACCGAAAGTTCTTAGAAAATCAAAAACTGAACAAACTAGCAAGTTATTAGTTTTATTATATCTTTTCAAAATAGTGTCCATTTACATTAATACATCGCTGCATCCGATGGAACCACTGAGAAAAGCACTTTGCCCACTCATCCTTAAGGGTCTCTTCGACGGCATTTTGAAACGCATCCACTGCTTCCGCGGCCTCCATAAAACGTTTTCCTCGAAGTTTTTCTTTTATTTTCGGAAATAAATAAAAATCGCAAGGTGCGAGGTCGGGGCTATAGGGCGGGTGACCCAGTAATTCCACGTATGACGTGGCCACGTAATCGATTCGTTACTTTCAATTCTTGAATAGTATTATTTTTTATATAAGGAACTTGCAGTGCAAACGGGACATTACGCCGTCACCAGCATCTTTTACATAATACTGTTAGACTTCTGATACAGAACAATTATAATTACAGACTGCAAAGAGTACTACTGCGAGAAACACGATAATTACAACCAATCGTGCAACGTCTCTTTCTCCTCACTGAATCAATTGCACCTCAATGTTCCGGAACCAGTTGAGCCAAGGGAAAGCACTAACTTCTTCCCAGATTCCGACGAGGACTATCCTACTGAAAACAATTTGAATCAGACTGATTTTTCACATACACAACCAATTGTGATTGAGTCCGATCACCCTAAGTACGAAAAATTCCACGAAGTAGACTCCGCTAATCATTCGTTTGACGATGGAGTAGACGAAGTTGATGGTTTGAGCAAACCTAATGGCATTGAGAGCAATGATTACGATAAAAGTGATCAAAAAAAGCAAGGTAATTCTGTTGACAGTGGCATATCAAATAATATAAATGGTGCTAATAATAATGTAGTCGATGACAAAAGCAAATTACATGTCAATGGGCATATAGTTAATGGAGAAAAGGAAAGGGTTGAAACAGCAATAAGCACGCTAACATCTCGATTATCAGACACATCGCTAAAAGACATTGATGTATCAAATAATGATGAAGACACACTCGACGGTGAAGATGTATCGCCGCGACAGAAGAACAGTAATGGGCTAGTCAACGGTACAGAGAAAAAGAACGGAGTATCGCTAAATCTAAAGTTACAAAGTGAAATGTGGTAAGTTACAATATAGCAATGATTAACTATTGTTGCACTATTAATAATATTTTTGTCATTGTCATATAATATATATACTTAATATGAAGTATGTGCAATATTTGTTTCGAAAACGTTTAAAATAAAAATTCAATTTCTATTAATTTTATGTAAAAAAGGTCTTATCACTTTATCCTTTATCTCTCATAATTTTATTGTAAAATGATGTTAAAGAAGAAAAATACCATGCCATCAATTTAAAAAAGTTATCCATGTTTTTGTATAAAATATAGCCTGGATCACTCTCTTGCATTGCATGACATTAATGATGTAAGGTATTTATAAAAACAGACTTATTAAAAATAGTTTTTTTTTTACTGGGGCTATGGAGTATCACTTCTTCAAATTACATAAGAATATCCCTGAAGTACAACCTGTTAAGAGCTATGAATAAATTAAATCAAGTTAGAAGTTTTTGAGAAATCGATGAACTCATAAAACATATGCCTCGAATTTATTAACCGAGGGGTCACACACAGTATCCACTTACCATCAGGTGAACTGTGTGTGTGTTTGCCACCCATATTGTATAAAAAAAAATAGTCTTTCTATTTGAATTCTTTGAACAGTCTAAGGATTTCTTATATTAACGCGATTACTACACATGGAATAAAACTAGTTTTACGGAGTTTATCGCGTTTAATTTAAACTTTTATAATTCCCGAATTTTTGGGTACTTTACAGCACCAATGGTTACAGGACGGACTGAGGTGTTTGACATCCTGATGTCCCATTGTTAACGAAAGCTAACTTCAACTTTTAATTATGAATTTTTGGTCTGATCTACCTAAAACCAGCTTTTTTTATAGAATAAATGTGACAATCGAGCTAAATGGTATATCGCACTGTCTTAGCGTAACAAAAGCCTATTTACTCTTGCCTTAAAGACGCCCAGATTGTATTCGAACGGTCCGATAGACGCCTATAAGTTCAATAGACGCCGCCAAATTATTCCACTCCTTTGCTGTACGCATTACAAAAGACGAAGCAAACTGTTTTATTCTAATGCGTGGAATATCGACAACAAAGGGGTGAAGACCCGCCGACCGCCTGGTTGTGCGATGGTAGAAAGGAGAGGGAGGAATTAAAGCGTGTAATTACTGCGCACACTCACCGAAATGCATCCTATAGAATACCGAGAGACTTGCTACGCTGCGCCTGTGCTCGAAGCTGACAAGATTGGTTTCAACCAGATCAAGGTCACCAATGAGCCTCTTAGCACATCTCTCCACTGAGTCCAATGCTGCCAGGTGGCATTTTTGCAGCACCAGCCCATATGTGACAGCAGTACTCCATGCACGACCGGACTTGCGCTTTATATAAGGTAAGAAGCTGCCCCGGCGTGAAGTATCGTCGCACCCTTGCAAGGACACCAAGATTCCTTGCGGCTGCTTTGACTCTGGACTCAATGAACCGCCCATAGTTTAGGTTCGGAAAATATTTAATCGCTAACAACTGAAGGCAGTCAGTGTACTCCAAGGGTACATTCCGGAAAGTAGGAACCAAGGTGAGCGGACTCCTTTTAGTGGTGAAAAGACACGCTTGTGTTTTGGAGGCGTGAATGGGGCGATGCCAATCTCACGAGATTGGCATCGCCCCATTCGGAGACTGCCTGTAGTGTAAGATTCACACGCTCAACAATAGCCTCTCGTTCAAGACTGTATTTGATCCCGACTGGGACTGGCCCAGGCACTTGGTTGGTATCTCTCCACAACTGTGCTGTCGTCTGCATACCCATAGAAACAGGGAATGAGCAGATCATTTATATGCAGCAGGAAGAGAGTTGCGGAGAGAACGGACCCTTGAGGAACTCCGGCGTTTGTCGCAATATGACAATACGAGCAGTCATCTATGACGACTCGGAGAAATCGTTCACTCAGAACGTTCTTCACCCAGTCAATCAGGGCAGGGGATAAGCCGTACGCTGAAAGCTTGCCCAATAGACTAGCGTCATCCTGTCAAAAGCCTTCGAAATATCGAGGGAAACAGCAAGTGCTTCACCATTGTTCTCGAGGGCTTCGCCCCATATGTGAGTGGCATATGCTGGAAGGTCTCCAGTTTGTTCCAAGTTGATCGATTTCAGCGAAACCCGTACTTGCGGTCACTGAGGAGATCATTCTGCTCTAGGTATGACATGAGGTAGGCATTCAATATACGCTCCATAATCTTGCAGAGTATGGAAGTAATTGAAATTGGCCGATAGGCGGCTACCTTTTTTAGGCACAGGCTGCACATTGGACAGCTTCCAAGATTTGAGCACTATTCCAGTTTTAAATGAGAGGCGGAACAAGCCCGTCAACACAGGAGACAACTCAGGTGCACAGACCTTTAGAACTATAGCTGGTATACCATCAGGTTCACTAACTTTGTTCACGTCTAGACTGATCCCGCTAACCTCCATACTAGGCACCTAACACTAAGAAGCGGTTGCGTCGCAACCGGTTCTTATGCGCAACGCAACTGTCCAGTCACATTCTCCTTAAGAAATGGGTTTCATCTAACATCGTACCGGAACACGACTTGCATCATTTGGCGGTATGTCTTTGCTAGGTGGGTGGTAACTAACCCTCGGCCGGGCCTCTAACTAGTAGAGGACTAACCTGCCACCAGTATGTAGTGCTGTTCGTTTAGCACTTAAAGTAATTCTTAAAGACGCGAGCAGCTTTATCCTCCATAATCTTGAAATTTGTAACCATCATTTTGGCTTCGTCGTTGTTGGGTAAAAATATTCCTATATATCATTTGCGTCAAATCAGAAGACACGAGTATATTGCAATCGGTATCTATAATTGAAGTTGAGACAGGCAGCACTATTTGTCTTCCACACATGCACATTTTACGCACACTCGCCCTAATCACTTCATCGCCAATCTGGTATACTATATCTATGAGTGTATTAATAATGTGGTGGGTGGGACGGTCAGTTTCCAGGCGGCGACGGTGTGCGTGGCGGCGAACGGTGCGGGTGCGGGCGCGGCAGCGCGCGCGTCGCCGCTGCTCGCGTTCTCGGCCGCCGAGCGCGCCGCGCTGGCCGCGCTGCCCGCCGCCGCGCACCCCGACGACCTGCTGCTGCTGGCGCGCCTGCACAACAAGGGTCAGTATGTCGCGCGGTGCGGGCGCGGCAGCACGCGCGTCGCCGCTGCTCGCGTTCTCGGCCGCCGAGCGCGCCGCGCTGGCCGCGCTGCCCGCCGCCGCGCACCCCGACGACCTGCTGCTGCTGGCGCGCCTGCACAACAAGGGTCAGTATGTCGCGCGGTGCGGGCGCGGCAGCACGCGCGTCGCCGCTGCTCGCGTTCTCGGCCGCCGAGCGCGCCGCGCTGGCCGCGCTGCCCGCCGCCGCGCACCCCGACGACCTGCTGCTGCTGGCGCGCCTGCACAACAAGGGTCAGTATGTCGCGCGGTGCGGGCGCGGCAGCACGCGCGTCGCCGCTGCTCGCGTTCTCGGCCGCCGAGCGCGCCGCGCTGGCCGCGCTGCCCGCCGCCGCGCACCCCGACGACCTGCTGCTGCTGGCGCGCCTGCACAACAAGGGTCAGTATGTCGCGCGGTGCGGGCGCGGCAGCACGCGCGTCGCCGCTGCTCGCGTTCTCGGCCGCCGAGCGCGCCGCGCTGGCCGCGCTGCCCGCCGCCGCGCACCCCGACGACCTGCTGCTGCTGGCGCGCCTGCACAACAAGGGTCAGTATGTCGCGCGGTGCGGGCGCGGCAGCACGCGCGTCGCCGCTGCTCGCGTTCTCGGCCGCCGAGCGCGCCGCGCTGGCCGCGCTGCCCGCCGCCGCGCACCCCGACGACCTGCTGCTGCTGGCGCGCCTGCACAACAAGGGTCAGTATGTCGCGCGGTGCGGGCGCGGCAGCACGCGCGTCGCCGCTGCTCGCGTTCTCGGCCGCCGAGCGCGCCGCGCTGGCCGCGCTGCCCGCCGCCGCGCACCCCGACGACCTGCTGCTGCTGGCGCGCCTGCACAACAAGGGTCAGTATGTCGCGCGGTGCGGGCGCGGCAGCACGCGCGTCGCCGCTGCTCGCGTTCTCGGCCGCCGAGCGCGCCGCGCTGGCCGCGCTGCCCGCCGCCGCGCACCCCGACGACCTGCTGCTGCTGGCGCGCCTGCACAACAAGGGTCAGTATGTCGCGCGGTGCGGGCGCGGCAGCACGCGCGTCGCCGCTGCTCGCGTTCTCGGCCGCCGAGCGCGCCGCGCTGGCCGCGCTGCCCGCCGCCGCGCACCCCGACGACCTGCTGCTGCTGGCGCGCCTGCACAACAAGGGTCAGTATGTCGCGCGGTGCGGGCGCGGCAGCACGCGCGTCGCCGCTGCTCGCGTTCTCGGCCGCCGAGCGCGCCGCGCTGGCCGCGCTGCCCGCCGCCGCGCACCCCGACGACCTGCTGCTGCTGGCGCGCCTGCACAACAAGGGTCAGTATGTCGCGCGGTGCGGGCGCGGCAGCACGCGCGTCGCCGCTGCTCGCGTTCTCGGCCGCCGAGCGCGCCGCGCTGGCCGCGCTGCCCGCCGCCGCGCACCCCGACGACCTGCTGCTGCTGGCGCGCCTGCACAACAAGGGTCAGTATGTCGCGCGGTGCGGGCGCGGCAGCACGCGCGTCGCCGCTGCTCGCGTTCTCGGCCGCCGAGCGCGCCGCGCTGGCCGCGCTGCCCGCCGCCGCGCACCCCGACGACCTGCTGCTGCTGGCGCGCCTGCACAACAAGGGTCAGTATGTCGCGCGGTGCGGGCGCGGCAGCACGCGCGTCTTGGCGCATTAACACAGGGGCGTCAGTGGCGCACGTGAAGTTGGAGAAGGAGATGGAGGAGGAGTAGTCCTCTCCCGAGGAGTGGCCGGGCAGGTAGCTGTCACAGTAAATATGCCACGCAGTTCTGTTTTCATTTACGACATTTATTGTTTTTGAGCAAATACGAAATAAAGTTACATACTTATATTTGAAATAAACTATCACGGTTACAAAGTGCACACTAAGTTACTGTTAATGCTCCGTAAGTTATCTAGTCGACTGCGAGCGGGTAAGAGTTCTTTAATTTGTATACCGCGAATGTTGTTTTCGACAATCTAACATTATTTATGTATGCACTTTGTAACCGTGATAGTTTATTTCAAATATAAGTATGTAACTTTATTTCGTATTTGCTCAAAAACAATAACTGTCGTAAATGAAAACAGAACTGCGTGGCATATTTACTGTGACAGCTACCTGCCCGGCCACTCCTCTGGAGAGGACTACTCCTCCCCCATCTCCTTCCCAACTTCACGTGCGCCACTGACGCCCCCGTGTTAATGCGCGAAGGCCATGGGGCCAGAAAAAACGAGCACGCAGAAGCACGCCTTCCTGACCCCAGCGGCGGATCTGGTCTATGGCTCTGCCGCCAACCAAGCTTCGGCTGCGGAAAGTAGAGAGAGCGGCGTCTCGCAATACCGACACTCCTCTCCCGCAGCTCCACAACGAGATAAACGGTACGGCACCTTCAGAGTCGCGGAGGATAGGGCGAGTGGCGCATCGCCATACCAACACTCCTCTTCCTCCGCAACTCCACCTCGGTTGCAGCGGTAGGGGAGAGGGCACCCTTCGCCGCAGCACACATCTGAAGTGAGCTCATCATGCCCACTTGGAGCTCGGGCCAGCCATGTGGGTTCCTCTTAATTCACCACGGGTGACCAAGCCACGGCTACTAAACTGCGGTGCCAACTCGCTTGCCAAGCGTGGCAGCTTTGTCTGCCTATGAGGCAATCTACTGGGTAGACTAATGAAGGCTTTGAAGGCGAAATTAATAAACGAGGGCCACATACGCTTTACTGCGGTTGTCCGTACCACATTATGCGACTAGCCGTTCGGTTTCAAGCAAGATACGGTTGAATTTGCCACCAAGCGAAAAGCGGCGAACCTAAATGAGAGTTGCCAACTAAAAATATATATAAAGTGACAAATAAATTAAAAACGTATATTTCTAAATAAAAATTGATTGTTCTTTAAAGTTTATATATCAAAAACAGTAACCGCCAATTGAATTTTGCTTTGCAGGATACTTCCGCGGAGAGCAGCACTTAGAAGAAATAATGTTCATGGAGAATGTAACCCGATCACAACTAATGCAGCTTCTGGACAAGTTTAAAGATATCCTAATCACATTCGAAACAGAAGATCCAGCTGTTGCCATGTTATATCCGTATCAGTAAAATGTTGCCAGTTAAACATTCTACAATGATTTCAAAAAAGTATTTTTGTTTAACATTGCTTTTTGGTTCATGTATCTCCTGTTTTCGTTATGGTGACGGTTGTTACAATCAAGATAAATTTTGAAAAACGTTAAATTATTAATTTGTTAGACATAAATGCTGATCTTTTTTTTACACAAAAAATAAATATTTCCAAAGTATCACGCGTAACAATTTTTCTACATAAGATGTTTTATACTGTTATGCTCATATTTATTTCTAAGCCTAAGTTAAATATATTTTAATATTATTTGTACTACTCTCACAACCATCCTTTGGTTATCATAGTATGTTCCACTTAGTAACGGTGCAGTGTTGAAAACTTAAATTGTTTGTTGGATAATATATTGAGCAATGATGACAATGATGATGATTACGTGTAACACACAAGAAATAGAAAATTAAATAAGACAATTTTATCAAATGATTGGAGTTTTAGGTATATTCAAATTTATATTCCGTTTCTTTGTGTACCAATGTCATTTATATAACCTTTTTTTTTCTCAGTATTAACTTGGATTAAAGTCACTGTAATTTGTTCAATTCATATAACATATTATGCATACCTAGCTATGTTTTAGTAATACCTAAAACATTCTTGTGACTACTGTTAAAGTAATATATGAATAATTATCTTAATTTCGAAATTGTATTAGGAGGCCATATTTATTGTGTTTATTGTAATTTATATACCAAATATTTAATAAAATTTCGATGCTGTGATGAAATAGATTTGAGTGAGAAATTGTAGTTTTGTTTTATTATAAAAAATTGTTATTTATTGTGTTGAAACGAAAAATATAAGAAAATTAGATCTGTTGCTATTTGCGTTTTAAATGTGCATAAAAACATATTAACAAACCCAATATTAATATATTTGTAATCAAAAGTATACATAATACATACATAATAAATAAATTACTGATTTATTCCATATGTATACATAATATTTCGATAATACTCCGTGGCGCAATGGCTTAGCAATGAGTTGCTGCACTGGGGGCCGCGGGTTCGAATCCCGCACGGAACAAGTATTTGTATGGCCTACAAATGATTGTTCCGGGTCTGGATGTTTGTCCTTGTGCAATTTGTGTTTGTAAACTGCCTCCACGATACAGGAGAAAATCCTAGTGTGGGGGTAACTTTTTTAATACAAATAAAAATAAAATAAATATTAACAAAATACATACGTTGTTAAACTTACTTTACTTGCATAAAATAGTTATGTTAAACAATCATAAATAGTTTGAAACACTTACTTTTTCTCCCACAATCGCTTAAGTGATGCCCTAATGAAACACGCAAGCAGGCGTTGCAGGTGGCTCATGAACGTAATTTGTGGTAATATTTGGGGGAGACATGTGTTCAGCATACTGTGCATAGTAATAATGAATGCTTTTAAGCAATTTATACATTTAAGAATAATATATTATCGGTGACGGTGCTTTCCAATTATTAACGCGTAGTATATACCGTTCAAAATAATGCATTTATCTTCTCGAATGAATTAGTCACGCTCTCACAAAATATCAAATTAAATGTATGTATATAGTGCATCTAATGCTTCGATTCTGCAGATAAGTGATAAGAAAGAAGACCCTTTTACCGGTAACGAGACGGTCCCTCCTACTTCTAGTTACCATAAGTGATAAGGTATCTACATTTTTAATATTAAAAAGTTAGATTGTATCTATTGACCACAGCAACCAACTACCATCAGGTGACTGAGGCTCGACCCTTATAGGTATTCACTTCAGTACCTCGGAGAGCACGTAAAGATCCTGCGCTTGATCTTTTTCCGGTCGTATCATATAGGGATAGGGTATTACATCCATTTTCAAACTATGTTTTAAATTAATCCTAGAGTGATAAACCACTATATATTTTTTTAAATATCACCGAATAGTGCCATAAAATTACTTTTAATTTATCGTTTTAGATTTTCGCGCGATAACGCTAGCCGCCATACTGTTCAGCTCGTGATGTCATTGTTGTAGTAAATAAAACGATTTGAACGATTTTGCAAAGGATAAGATATTTTTGGATGTTTAATAATGAGTTGTCATCTTTATCATTGGTCTGTTGTGCCTGAATGCAAAAATACGAGCATAAGAACGCCGAGGAAGTTATGGATTCAAGTTCCAACTGATTTAAATATGCGAAATACTTGGTTAAAGCTAGCAAGAAGAGACCAAAAGACATTGTCTACAAAAAGTAGACAATACTTCTATGAGATCACTTTAATGTAAGAAGGACTTATATTTAACTATTGTTACAAAACAAAACATCAGGAGGTGATAGGTATTGCAAGTCAAATTTTGTATTAGATTACGTTATCTTACATATACACTGGCCTCTATATATACAAGTAGATATATAACTAAAACGTCTTATACACGGTCCATCTTGACGTACGTCCCGCCAAGGTCATGAACGATGAACGATGTAAAACGACAATGAGTAGGCTTGACGTACAGCAATGACGTACGTCAAACATATTCATTGTCATTTTGCATCGTGCATCGTGCATGACCTTGGCGGGACGTACGTCAAGATGGACCGTGTATAGTACGTTTTATGATTGCAAATGCTTGTAATCATCATAGACTTAGAATATACTGGCAAACTCTATGGTAATCATAGATAAACATATCTATGTATTATCGAAGGACACTGACCTGGTATTGTATTATTATAAATTTGGTAATAGGTACTTTAATGTTTTAACATTCCTCAACTCGACAGAACAAAAAACAGGATTGCATGCAAAAAAATTGCCACCATCAGTGTATTTATCCTTGGTATTAGCACTTTCTGCGTATACGGATCCGTCTTCCATGATGTTATTTCAATAAAATAGGGAATAAAAATAAACAATCGCTAGTTTACTATAAAAGTGACGGGAAAATGTCATTGGATTCTCTATCTACGATTAAGATACTAAGTCTATGCCATAGACTCATAATCATATACTTAGTATTTAATCAATCCTCTATCTACGCGTAGAATATACCGTGGAAATACATGTAAAACGTATTATACGCGGTCCATCTTCACGTACGTCCCGCCAAGATCATGCACGATGCAAAACGACAATAAATAGGCTTGACGTACGTCATTGTTGTACGTGAAGCCTACTCATTGTCATTTTGCATCGTGCATCGTGTATCGTGCATGACCTTGGCGGGACGTACGTCAAGATGGACCGTGTATAAGACGTTTATTTATACTTGGAATCATATCTATTTATCTATGCTTGGAATATACTTAAACGCAGTGTGACCATATGTGGCAGGTTCCTCCCATTTTGGCAGGATTGGCCTCTTATTTTAGCCTCTGGCATGATTGGTTGACGTTTTACAAAACTTGGCAGTATTGGGGTATTAAAAATATATTTCACTATGGCAACTTAAAATGCCGAACATGGCAACCCTAGATAATTCGCCAGCATGTGGGAGATTTCCCTGTATCCCTGTACTTCTCGTATTATGTTTGTATCACATTCAATTTAAAAGTTTGTGTGTAAAGTTGATAATATTAAAACGAGTATTCATAAACACGAGTTTATGGTTAATATTTCAATCAGTCATAGAAGAGATGTACTTTGAACGACGTACGATGAACGAATTATTATTAACTTTCTAATAATATTTCGTGAACGATAGTAATTATAGGTGGTGGTGATGAAACGAAAATATGAAAGGGCTTATAGAACAGAATGGGAGCAAGATCCTTTACTTTCGTCGTGTATATCTACTGGTAAACATCAGAAAAATATGAGTGAATTCAGCATGCGAAAGAATATTCTCTCAAATAAATTTAATTAAGACAAAAACACGAAACAGATTTATAAACAAACGTAGCGTCTATCTTGCACGGTAAATAAGGCATTGGTGAGCATGGCGATTGCATTGCATTCAAACCAACGAAAGATATATTTAATTTAATAAAAATATAACATTTAAATGTGTATTTTTACATTTCTTAGTTTAATACAATGGTAAATAAAGTTGGAAGTATGTAGGCATTTTTTACTACAGACTTTGGCAGGTTTTTAACCAAAGTAAGGCAGGATCTGTATTTTAAAGATGGTCACACTGCTTACGCGATACGCCAGTAGCCACTAGCCAGTAGCGTAGATAGAAGACAGAATACCTACTAAGACTGACTTTTCACTATGGGATACAATATATATTATATTCCGAAATATACATTATATCCCGCGATTGGCTTTCACACTGTGAGATATATCTTTTAACCAGTGTGCGTTCGTCATTGGATTACCCCCTGTACCCCGCACACGGTTCTGCGGCGATGCGCAACGGTGTGCGGGGTACAGGGGGCGAAAAATAATATGAAAATATTGTTCGGTCGATCAAAAAAATATTTATAGTTTGAGATATAATATATATTATAGCTCAGTGTAACCGGTTCCATTTAAAAGTATGGAGAGTGATATTAATTTATATCTCGAGACGTAATATACATTATATCTCATAGTAAAAAGCGGGCTTAATCCTGTACATACAACTTTATAATTTGTGAATACTAAGTCTATGGCCAGTAGGTATGTTCTACATTCGTGTAAAATCTACTAGTTAGTCTGAGTTAGTCTGTGTGTTCTACGTCTATGGTCTAGGCGATTATCAACAAAAACAACAAACAGCTGCCAAAATTTGCGTGCGAATTAATCGAAGTTGATATTGTATTTCGTCTTGTTCTCGTGAGTGAAACAAATAAAAATGAAGAACGTTCCAGTTTTTGTGTTTCCCGTATCATTAGAATTTTACTTAAATGCTAGACACACACACAAACAATTGCTAACAGTTTATAATCCATATGATTTCTCTGTGAATTTCAAAGGTAAATTTCAAAAATACGATGAATGAGATTAAAAAATATACTTTGTTTAAACAAACATTGTTTTCAGTATTGTGCACTTCACCCAATAAGTTTACTGT